GAGTGACGTCGGACTGTGACACGATCACTGATGCTCGTGCTAGGACGAACGCGGCGTGGCTAAAATGGCGGCAAGTAACAGGAGTACTCTGCGACCGACGAATCCCGTTGTATCTCAAGTCGAAAGTGTATCGGACTGTGGTGAGGCCAGTCGCACTGTATGGAGCGAATGTTGGCCAGCAACAAGAAAACACGAGCAGATCCTGAGCACGATGGAGACGCGAATGATAAGATGGATACTTGGCCTGACGAGAAGAAACTGCGTCACGAACGATGATGTACGACACATTTTTGGAGTTGCACCTATCGCGGATAAGATGCGAGGTGCCAGATTACGATGGTATGGTCACGTTTTACGAAGTGAAGATAATACAGTAGCAAAAGCAGCACTTCGTCTAGATCCACAGGGGAAGAGACCACGTGGCCGTCCGAAGCAACGCTGGTTGGACACCATTCGAAGCGACCTGCACATTGCAAAGCTCAAACCACAAGAAGCAGCTGATCGAGTCAAATGGAAGCAAAAATGCACCACCGCCGACCCTGCACCCGCGGGACAATGGCGAAGATAAAGAAGAAGAAGAAGAAGAAGCTTATCAGAATGTGGCACTAAAATCAGCACACTGAGTAATCCATTTAACCTAAAAGTTTAAAAGATAGTGAGATTTACTATATAGCGTACTCCTACCGTACTCAACCGCTAGATTCTTCTATATCTCAGAAGATGCGCCTCGACAAACTAAGTCGAGTGGTGTCTATGGATTCGGAATTCATGCACTTCTGAATCGAGCTGTGGCGATGTAAGCCAAATTTTCGGCGAACTCCGGCGGGGCCACCTCAGTTGCCTAAGTTCAGCGGCCGCCACATACGTTAAGCGCCCGCCGCCGATTTTCTTCACAAATTACGAGCGGTATTGTACCTCTTTATTCAAAAATCTTGGTATATAAACAAAAAATATGTAATAATATATAATACAAATGTAAAATATAAATAAAAATATATGATAGAAATATGTGAGCCAAAACTAGACAATCCATCTACGAATTTTTCATAAGTAATAAGACAGCTCAGTGCCATTCAAGTTGAAAATAATCGCCACGATTGAGATACCGATAAGAGAATTTTTAGTACACCATTCTTCCTTTATTATAAAGTTGTAACTATCATGAATGCATGAGTAATATACTTTCATGAGACTGATTCTTCGTAGTTGAAAATTCTTAGTTCGTCTTTTTATTGGCACACAAATACAGTTGTATGGCGATAGATGAACTAGAAAAATAAAGCGAAAGGTAATCTTGTTAGGCGGGGAAATGTAATACAATACCGCTTACATAATGTGCAAACTCTCCGTGAATGTCGAGAATTTCTACGAAATTCCTAGAATTCTTCGAAATTTTTCGAAATCCTGCGAAATCTTCCGACATTTCGCGGAATTTTTGGAATATTGCCTTGACACTCTTCAGAGTGCATGGATTCTTTTCAGAAAATTGGTGGCAGTGAAAGGGATTCACACTTGGAAAAGGCTATATGATAACATTATATGAACAACATTCAGAAAAAAAAACATTTTACAAGACAAATGCGATTTTTAGAAAAACAAAGTACCGAAAATGGAGCTGAAGAGTTGCTTAGATGAAGAAACATGCACAGAATCGTTTCGACAGCTGGAAACAAAAATACCAGGCTGTTTCAAAATTTCTGTCCGAAATTTTCGTTTACTTCGATTTCTTATAACCTTATTACTACACAACCTCAATCAATAATACAATCACCGTGAATTTGAATATTCTTCGCCCATCTGTCGGGCAGTTCTTCGATGCCTCTTTTCCAGCAGGGTGGCTGAGCGCAGAAAAGGTCAAGGACAGTTTTGAGATCGTCTTCTTTATCGAATTGTCTCCCACTCAGGAACTGCATCAAAGGACGAAATAACTTATAGTCGCATGGTGAGAGATCGGGGCTATGTGCTGGGCGAGGAATCACCTGCCATTCCAATTCGGATTTTTGCTGGCTTGCTGTGCTGCGGCGTTGTCGTAAAGTAAGTACACGTTTGCACTTCTCCGTCGTTTTTCCTCGAATTGCAGTCGCTAATCTGTCAAAGTGTTGCGTGTACAGGGTAGAGGTAACCGAAAGAGCTGCAGGTAGCAGCTCATAGTACACCACCCCTCTGGAATAAAACCAGCAGCAAAGCATAACCTTGCGCTGGGCGTTCCGGGTTTCGGGTCAGCTGGTGGCTGTTTTTCTTGTGGTAACCAAAAGGCACGCCTTTTCAAGTTATTATAAAGAATCCAGCTTTCATCCCCAGTAATCAAATTTCAAGAAAGTCCTTTCTTTGTGGATAAAGCAGGGGGGATTGGCAGATGTTAACTCGGCAGTTTTTAGCGGCATCGGATAGGCGGTAAGGAATCCATCGAGCAAGCACCTTTCTATATCCAAGCTCTTGGAGATGCCGAAAAGCGGTGGCGGAACTGCACCCAGCCCTTGCCGCCAACCTGCGCGTATTTGTTTCAGGATCCTTCTTGAGGGAGTGGCGCAATTCTTCACCATCAACTGCCTTTAGACTACCGGCGCGCTCAGTATCTTGAAAGCTTGTATCTCCGTCTTCAAAACGGTTGTACCAGCGGAACGGTGCCACTTGTCAGTGTACTTTCTCCGCACACACATTGATATTGTTGATTGTTGTGGTCTTCTATCTTTCTGTGGATCCGGAACACGAATAATAGCAGTGCTTTATTGGTGATAGGTACAGTGACAGAAGCCAGGAATGGAGGAATGGAAGAATGAAGAACTAATGTTACCGCAAAAGGAAGCTCTTATATAGTCCTCTAGGGATGGTTGTTAACAACACAAGAGGTTTATACAATAGAGTTTCATTTACTACCACGCCTAATGTCACTCTACAACATTGATTGATATTGGGTGGCCTGTGCTGTGTGACTTTGGTGCCCGCAGCCATTCGTACAAAATAAAAAGCACGAATCTGCTCCTTGGTTACTAAAGCCATTACAATGCTAACCAGTAATCTAATCAAGCTATTATATCTCTAGTATATTGACACGTAAAGGCCCGTAGAAGTTGGCCGAGTATGGTCCACTCATTTATTTCTATGAATTTTTACAACGTTTTGAAAGAATTTTGGACAGGACTATTGATACAGCCTAGTACTTAGAGCCAATAAGCGCCTAGTGTGCACAAAAAACCGGGATTATACTATGACCAGAAAGATTGAGTTCATACTCAGCTTCACTGGTTACCTGCTCCAGCCAGCTCCACGTAATCCTTAAATTCCCTAACCTTAGGACAAAGTCTCCACATGCAGGTGTGACCATACTCGGCCAGAGTGGACCACACTCGGCCAACTTCTACGGGCCTTTAGGTGTCAATATACTTGTCAATATACTTCGTCCAGCTTCTTCCCATTCAGTTTATAAGCGCCAGTTGCGAGAAACTTTGACGGAAGTAACATCAGCCTTGTCTCTCCTCATCACCACTTCGGTCACTTTGAGCCCAGGGAACAACTGTGCAAATTCATAATCATTCAGGACTGACGAAGGACTACAGCGGATCCTCTCTCCAATGGCAGTGGAGTTTCAGGTCAGGCAAAATCGTGTTCACAACTGTGCGCACTATGACTTGCTCGAAAGTACAATTCGTAGGCTTAGTTCCACCGTTCATTACCGGTGCCAAAATTACGGAGTTTTAGAAGCTGTTCCTTGCTTTGGACAGCCTTTCTGTTGCACGAGGATCCAGTCTGCGACATTACTGAACATTATCTAGAGATCATTGTCGTTGTTACAAGTGTTCGAAAACGTATCCATTACATACTCAGCCTATCCATCGCATTCTGGATGTAAAGGATGGCAATATTCCGAGTATTCATGGAAATCCGAATTCGCGCGATTTCGGGATTTTCGCGAGTTTACGGGGATAATCGCAAAACCGCGACATTTCCGAAACTTTTGCATGTTCTGTGAGCGGTATTGTACGTATCAAGCAGTAATGGTAAGATGATGACAGAAGATGTGAAGGCAGTAGAACAACGGCCCGTAGTAAAGTGTCTCAATTGATCTCAACTGTAAATCTCAGTTGGGCTTCGACGAGTCAGCTCTGCCACATTTGAGCCATTGATTGATAATTTCAACCATCAATGACGATTTCATTGAGAAGGCCACGTCTATGCAAGTATACAAGTCGGAACGCGTTCCAAAAGTCCACATTCATGCGATTCAAACTGGCGGCAGAAATCTGGCCGTACTTGTTAGATCTTGTTAAGGATCGTTAACCTGCATTAAAGCTCCTCACTCAGTATTTGTCATGTTTGTTCGTAAACTGACATGTGTTGTAAGTTACTAATGGTGAGAAGTAACTTACGGAAAATTTCTCTACATCTTATCATTCCCACGCTATTTGAGTCAGTTGACGTCTTAAATGAACGTGAACTTACAAGTGTGAGGCAGTCTACCTCGTCATTTAGATGGACGATCAACTACAAGTTCATTTTGCATTCTTATAGTATGGGAAGGGGGAGGGGTCGTCATCCCACCTTACGGTACCTCAACTAAGGCCCTCAGTCCTAACCACCTAAACTGACCGAGCTTTACTACGGGTCAATGCTTGGAAATGACCACGCCTTTTGAAAGAAGTTCGATTGATAGTCTGATTCTGATAAGCACCATTACACTAGTTCTTCTACATAAACCTATGCGAATTTCCGAACTAATTCGATTTATTGTAAGATGTTTTACTTCGCAGTTAATTTCTCAAACCTAGTTTAGACATATGATGCTGTGTAGTGAAATTAACGTCAATAGTGAGTACATGTGATAAATGTCTGCAAGGCAGAAACTAGTGAAAGGTTTCATATGTCCCTTTTCAAAAAAGAACAATCTGACCAGTAACGGACAAGCATGAACATATTGACCGTAAATTACTCCAAAATTCTCGATGTCAGTGCACGGTATTACCAAAAATTGCCCTACTTTCGAATCTAAAATAGTAACTCACTCCAAGTGTCGCCTCTCTATTTGTTGCCACGACTCATCGGGGTAAATAGAGCGAAACATTCGTTTATAGGTAGCACCCCAAGTTGTCCTGCGGTCCACGTCGCCGAATCGCGACGAGCGCTCGAACATTTCTCTCCTGGCTTCTTGCACAATACCTGTTCATTATGAAGAAGAAATAAAAGGTTGTAATAGCAAAACAAGCAGCTTACCCATCTTCGAGCTGATCTTTGAGCTTACAGATAGGGTTTTAACAGCATATTTGATACCTACCAAAGAGAAGCACGAGGCGGCAATGGTTTGCTCTGGAATTGTGAGAAAACGACAAACGCAGTTTGATGCTAAGTAAACACCGTAAAATTCCTTGCGCGACTCCAAAGCAGACGCTGCCAGTGACATGCATAAAAATGCAACGTATGTATGGTTCACATAGTGAGCCAGGAACAGAAGAATTTCAAAAACGCAAGTTGGATTCGCCCTTATGAACATGAAGAGTATTTTTAGAAATAATTAAATAAATATTATATTAGGTTGTCTCATAAGTTATTATTGTTTGAGTTTTCGCCGACATAAGTCAGTTCTTCTTATACTCTTAATGGGATGCGAGAAACCAATCGACAGATCAAAGTATACTCTACAAGATGATGTTAAAAAGTTCGCAACAAGCTTGATCTGCATCAAGTTTCAAGGGCGAAATAAAAAAATTTCCGAATTCCCGAAAAAAAACGAGAATAATCGTATCTCAGTTTAAAATCATTCTGCAGACTTTCCACTTGCTCACACATATACTTTCCGCATCAGGTACTTATATACACAATTGCTGCATTTTTCTGATGGCTAAAAATGTAGAAAAAATAACATTTCAAGAAAAAAAAATTGCGCCAAATTTAATTTGTAGCGTTCTGTGTCACTCGCAAACATGTAATTATATAGCTGATTCAATCAGAAATACTACCACAAATTTGCAACCTTGTAGGTCTCCTAGTTCATGAGAAACATCTTTTAAAGATTCGAATACGAAAAGACTTATAACAACCTAGAAGACAACCTAGAAGATTAGAAAGTAAAAATTAAAATGAAATGGTTCTTTGTTCTCAAGCGTATTTGAGTGAAAGAATATGATGCGAACACTTGGAAAAGAAAAATCTGGTCTATATTTTGGAATTTTTCTCAGAAGATGCGTGTGTAGTTATAAAAAGCCTCGGTGAGATTTCGCACAGTTTTCATAAAATGCATGCAAATTTTACATCAGAAAATTTTAATCACTCGATTGAGCCCAGCTCATGAAAATAGAAATAAGGAAAGCTGTACATCCGTGAAAGCTCAGGCGATAGCTGATTTATATAAAGAAAAAATGGAATGCCTCCATTATATTATCCTCGCTTTACATCTCCGGTTCTTGAAGCTGAAGGCTAAACAGCAAAATTAAAGTGTAGCCTTACATGCCACCAGAGAGTGTTTATAATATTTGAATGGGTGTGCAGATAATACATCAAAAAAGTTTCGCAGATCACTTGATTGAGCCCGACAGCTAGCGAAAATGGAAAAAAGAAAAGTTGTGTATCGGAAATATGACTAATGCCATGCCTAAGTGAATCACTAAGCTGTTCGTGCATTCACTAAACTTAGCTTGGCAACAGTATTATGGTTCCGTATCACAGAATTGTTTACTTTGTACCGTTTGATACACTAAGGCTTCTTCTCCTATTTTCTTTTGACGGCACGTAAGCAGTCTACACTCGGAAAAGCGTGACTTTTTTCTGCACATACAAATTAGCTTTCAGTTGGACTTCCACGAATATCATAGCATAAGACGGATACCGATTGAAAATTTCTGAGCAATAATCACATAAAAAAAGCAGTTGAAACATTGGTAACTTCAGCAAACCAGGCAAAGAGGAAATTATTCCTGGATGAAGATAAATGTCAAAAAGTTATCATGATACATGAGCTATAGCTCAATATGATTGGGGTTTGCGCTGCACTGTCTCACTAAGAGAACTTCATGGGAAAATAATAGCTGTGGATTTTACCTAGCCATTCTCGGAGTTATAGTAAAGTACATTTTGATTAATTTGAGTCATGCGGGATCTTTACTCGAAGCTTGTGAGAAGTTGGAAAAAGAAACTGTGCACATTCCGCGCACATTTTTTCAAAAAAAAACCCTGAAATACATGAAACGACGAAGTACGGTTGAGACAAGAGAGATCGGCATTCAAACAGGGGGGGGGGGGGCATTTTGCTCGAAGAGCACTTGACAAACAATCAGAAGTGGCTGAGAAATAAACACTTCAACATGAATTTTGCACCATCGATCATCATATCAACTAAAAATTCATAAACAGTGAAATTACGAAAAACAGCCAACTCATCTACAAATGCGTCTTTGGTTGTATATTTTAACTTTTTGATTACTCGTTACAAATTGTATTTGTTGTAAACCGTAAATTTCGAATGGTTTGCTCTAGTGGATTCTGTGCCAGATTCAAGGCTCTCCATCAACTTACCGCTAATCATCCTTGAATTTTTCTAAGCAAGATTTTTTGCGCCCATTTTTAATCTCGCTGAATTGTTGGTTAACCTAGAACTACGTATGTGACATTAAAATGAGTTTCCTTTAATTGTATAGAAAAGACTACTCAGTGTAACTAGCATTCTTTCAATGCAGAGAAAATTAGCAGAGAACCCGTGCAATTTGGGTGCAAAGTCAGCAGTCCACAAAAATATGCTGGTGCAACAATTTCCATATCTGACCAAAGATGGGAAGCAACACCACAGCCAAAGGAAATTTTACCAGAATCAATTCAGACTTTGTTACGGAGTAAAACCATCTGTCAAATAAATTTGTACTGGGATGATTGCACTATGTTGAAGACAAACAGCCTAGTGGAGGGGAAAAAGCGTGTCAGATGTCAATGATCAGTTGCGAAAAAAGTTGTCAATTACCTTGTTCAGGTGCTTGATTGATCTAGACCTGCAGAAGGAAGATGCGCGAAATATTACCCAATTCAGGAGAGAAAAATGAATGAGGAGGGAAACGCTCCACGAAACAGTTGCTCGTTCGTATGAGTGATTTACTATGTGGTTTTGATGTCGTTGGAAAACAAAATTTATTTTGAGTGGAACGTGTTTACCTTAAGGCTAACAGAAAAGCAAATCTTCTTATATATAAAGCTGAATGTCTGTTTGTCTGTACGTATGCCTGTCAGTATGCTTGTATGTACGCCTGTATGTACGTATGTTCCGAATAGAAATCTTTATTTGGAACCGATCCAGACCAAACTTGGCACACATACACTTCGGGCAGGGCTGGTGTCATGGGTCCACTTTTCGCTATCGATCGATATCGATTTTTATCGATTTTTTTGTAAAGTTTGACCTGCAGGCTTTACAGTTGGCACAGGGGGGTAATCGAGCATGCTGATTACGAATACAATATTAGTTTTCAGAATCGCCCATTACTTTTATCGATTTTTATCGATTTTTGCAAAGTTTGATCAACGGGGCTGGGAGTTGGCACAGGGGAGTAAGCGAACAATTACAAAAACAATATTAGTTCTTGAAATTATCCATTACTAGTTGACTTACCCGGCTCCGCCTGGCCCTGTCATTATTGAATTCGTAATCAGCATGCTCGATTACCCCCCCCCTGTGCCAACTCCCAGCCCCGTAGCTCAAATTTTGCAAAAAATCGATAAAATCGATATCGATCGATACGAAAAGTAGCCTATGACACCCGCCGGGGCCCGAACTGTATGTGTGCCAAGTTTGGTCCGGATCGGTTCAAAAATGGAATTGTCTATTTGGAACATACGTACACACAGACATACAGACAGACAGACATACATACAAACAGACATTCAGCTTTATATATAAGATTTCTATCGATTTTATCGATTTTTTGTAAATTTTGAGCTAAGGGGCTGGCAACTCGCACAGGGACAAGTGAGCATGCTGACAACTAACGCAGCGGGAATAGCGATTGGAGTTAATATGTAGAAGTGGACATAGGGAAAGGCTGTACAAGGGTAGGGATAGGAGCTTTATTATAGCGTTTTCACAGGGCCGGGCGGAGCCGGATAAGCTAGCTAGTTCAATTCTAAATACAACACGAATAGCCATTCCCTTAAGGTCAAATAATTGTTCCTTCGAAACCGCTACGAACTAGCCTGATCTCTCAATTATGGCCGATCACAGAGCCATTACCTAGGTCAACTGAGGTGAGGCATACAATGACAATGCTGTCCTAGAACACCTTGCACTCAATATAGAGTTGCGTTTTCAACACTCAGCTCCTATTTTCAAAGACATTCGAGGCTGATTACAGGGATCGACTTCCCACAACTGTTTTCAGCTTTCTTCAGCCTCGGGTTTGACTTTTGTAATATGTAAGTGTTGATCTACAGCGCAACAGAGCAAAAAGTACTTTTTTGCCGTTGTTTCCTTCGCTGCAAATATAGATGCGGAATATATCCTTCTCTGCACGTTGTTTTCTTTCTTTCGCAACCGCTTTGCACTCTCAAATGTCCAGTGTAAAATCAAGTCACAAACAAATTTCTAGTTTTTTTTCGCCCTCGCAACACCAATCTTTTGTACTTCTAGTGTCATTTATTTTAATCTATTACTCTCTTTCTGTATATCCTGCAGCCTCAATCTTTTGCAGAGTCCATTTTTTCACATCCTTTGTTCATGGCTAGCCATTTCGTTTTCGTTTCTGCTTTTTTTTGAAAACTTTTAACGGCTTCACTCCCAAAAAAGCAATTTTATCTGAATCATAAAATGCATTCTTTGCGTGGGGCTGCTCATCTCTTGGACATTCTCATTTACGATTTCAGGAGGATTCTTTAAAAGTATGACCTTACGCACACAGGCGGAATATATGTTTTAATCTCCTGTAAGCAGCTTTTTCTCTGAATGGCAAGTTTCTCCTATTTTGAGTGGGACATCTTTTCTCTCCACTACTCTCTCCCTCATCGAAGAATATTTTTATTCTACCCAACCTCGCTGAAACGCCATTTTCGCAGATTTCAGGATAACCTTGATTGCATGAAGCCTTCCTTCCTCATTAGAATATATTGTTTCAAATTGAGCACATGGCATGTAAATGCAAATGGATCGAAAGGCGCCTTCCAAAGGCGTTCTTGTGGAAAAGCTGAACGCATTCGCGCGTTGTATCAAATTCTAGCGACACCTTCGGTTTCAGCAGTCGCTCCGAGACAAATTGAATACTCAGAAACTTTATCGAACCTATTCAGCAATGTCGGAAAAACTTTTCGTTCTTGGAAATTTTGAAAACTTATAAAATGCGCTTCATAATTATACGAACACCTTAAATTTTGAAATTTTTTGGACTTTTTGGAAGAAACTTAAGAAGTCGTTGGTACCACGCGATAGAGCAC